GCTATACATTACATCCCTAGTACTTATGAAGTGTGTACCTTTGATTCCCTTTCTCCTAGTCACCTCTCACCTCCCCCACCTCTGGTAACCACAGATCTGATCTCTGAGTCATTTTTTTTCCAAGACTCCACATATAAGTGTGATCATATGGTATTTATCATTCTCTGACTTATTTCACTTAGCATAATGTCCCCAAGGGTCCATCTATGTTGTTGCAAATAGCAGGATTTTCTCCAGTTTTATGGCAGAATAATATTCCATAGTATATATGTACATCACAGCTTCTTTATCCATTTATCCATTGATGGATCTAGGTTGTTTCCATGTCTTGGCTTTTGTTAGTAATGCTGCTATGAATATAGGGGTACAGATATCTTTTCAAGTTTATGTTTTCATTTCTTTTGGATAAATTCTCAGAAGAAATGACTGGATCATAGGGTAGTTCTATTTTTAATTTTTTGACGATCCTTTGTACTATTTTCCATAGTGGTTGTAACAGTTTACAATCTCACCAGCAGTACACAAGGGTTCCCTTTCTCCCCATCATCACCAACATTAATTATCTCATTTTTTTGATGATGGTAATACTAAGAGGTGTGAGGTGATATCTCATTGTGGTTTTGATTTGCATTTCCCTGATGATGAGTGATGTTGAGTACCTTCTCACGCACCCGATGGTGATGTTTTCCATTTCCAAAATGGAAGCTAAATAAACTTCATTGTTCTATTTTGTTTAACAATTTAAGTGTTTAGAATCAACACCTTTCACAAACTGTCAATTCACTCTTCTGTAATATTCTTAACAAACAAAATTATAATCCACACCTCAAATATCAAAAGTAATCTTATTCTGGAATTATGTGCAACTTTAAAAACAAAAATAGACTTGTTCCAGAGTTAATCATATTAGAATGTTTAATTCCAAAATTCCAACTTGGAATTGAAAGTGCCATCCAACCTGCACAATTCTGGAGATTCTATTGCATTTTTAGGGCTTGCAAATTCTACATTTGTTTCAAATGTTTTCTTTTCCTTACAGACACATCTGTCTTTACCTAATTTACAGGAATAGTTCAGGTTACTTGTATTTAATGTTACTACTTTTTTTAAACATTTTCTTTTCTTTTTTTAAAGATTTTATTTATTTATTTGACAGAGAGAGAGAACGAGAGAGGGAACACAAGCAGGAGGAGTGTGAGAGGGAGAAGCAGGCTTCCTGCTGAGCAAGGAGCCCAATTAAATTCAGGCTCAATCCCAGGACCCTGGGATCATGACCTGAGCCGAAGGCAGACACTTAACAACTGAGCCACCCAGGCGCCCCATAATGTTGCTACTGCTGAAGTAGATTGTATCCTATAGCTATCATTCCATGGTACTCATGAAAATATATCTCAGAATTTAAGACTATGTCAACTAAGGACAATAGGGGTTATTTTTAAGAGCTCTTTTGACAAGAATGCTGGAAAATATACAGTGTTAATAAAATCTCAAGGGAGTAGGATGGTATCAGGAATATAAAATAGAGAAAACAAAAAAAACAAAACAAAACAAAATTGCTGGGGTGCCAGAGAAAAGAATTGTCATGTTTGAATATCCCATCAAGTGAGCTCTTTTGTGGTATCTTTACAACTCAGAATGTATTGTGGTTTGAGAGAAAGAGGGTAGCATTTCACTAGTTACTTACTTTATGACTACCTCATTCCAACTAAAACATTATTCTTTGTATAACATGTTCTCTTTCACTTAAATCCTCACATGGAATTCATCAGACATGATAAAATTATGTATTTACTCCTCTTCAAAACTTGAGGAAATAAAAGCTCTACTTTAAAAGTGTGACCAAGCATAATTTATTTTGCAATTCTTTTATTTTGTACTTTTTGTCTATCTTTCCTAGGGAAACTTTGTGTTTATAAACCAATAAATATATTTCAAGGAATTTAAAATGTTTTAATAAATTACTTTAGAGTTTAACAAAAACAAATAAGAATTGCTTACACCAAGGATCAACATCAATTAATCAGCCAATATTTATTATACCTGCCATTTTGTGGGTGATGTGGGTAATCTCTAAAAGGTCCTTGACCTCCAGAAGTCTGGGTAGATAAAGTATGTGACAAAAGTGGAAAATGATGAAGTGCTAAAAAACAGAGTGAGACTCAGAATTCAGAGAAGTGAAAGATTGGTATGTATTTACCCTAGACGTGGGACTGACTTAGAACTTTAAGGATAAGTCACATTTAGAAAGCACCAGGGGAAGTGACTAGTTGAGGTAAAAGGAAGTAACATGAATTGGGCACTCTTGTTGAGTGAATATAATATGCCCAAGTAGAGCAACTCTACATGTTGAAAAGTAACAGACTACAAGGTCAGAAAGGTATGTTGACTGAAATTTAGTGGATCAAGAAAACAAAGAAGAATATAAGTTTTGATTTACTATGAAAGATAATAGCCATTGTCAGTTTTTGAGCAAAAAAAATGTTTAAAATTATGTTTAATAATAGTCTTGTTAAAGATTAGAATAATGAAGAAGAGAAAGATGATCTTGAGTTAGAGTAGGAGACACTATTCAGTCTTGTGAAGAATAATCTTTTATAGTGTACTACAATGTGTGAGTTTACATTCCATTCTTAGATATTGCTCATTGAGGAAATACATTGCTCAATTCTAAAGGAGAATCTTCAGTATTCCCTCTTATAGTACATAGTTTTGTAAATGAATTGATCATTCTTATCAGAAATATCAATAATGTACTGCATACTTACTGTGTGATTCTTGGATTCTTGGCACTGTTAGAACTCTGAGAATTTTACAAAACCAGGCACGTGGGCAATGTCCAGATAAGGATATTAAACAAATATATGGCCATCCATCTTTTCCATCAGCAAGCCTACTTCCTCAAAACTGAGTTTAAATACCACCTTCTCCTTGAGTACTTACCAAACATCCCAGAAAGGAATGGCTACTTTTCAGAATTCCTTAAATCCATAATTTTTATTGTATTATTTTAATGTGTTTTTTCCTGGTCTTTATTGGGTTTAATATTATCTAAGATCTATTTTGGTATTATTCATTTAATCGATGATATGTGTCATTTAGATTCTAAGCACTTTCAAACAATGAATCATGGTACACTACATCAAAAACTAATGATGTAATGTATGGTGATTAACATAACAATAAAAAATTTAAGGAAAAAATAAATAAAATAGATTCTGAGCACTTTAAGAATAAATCAAGGGCAAAAGCAAGAGATGTTTAATGAATCTGTGTCTGCAACTCTTGGTATATGGTAGAAACTCAATAATATTCACAGAATGAATAAGATACTAAATATTTTTACATCTTCCATAGAACAACTTGTTGATCTTAAATATTCACAGTAATGCTTACTTTTTAAAAGAGGCTAACAGGAAGAGTAATGAATGTTCTTCTGTTCTAAAGATCCCAAAGGTTAGAAAAAATAATATATACCTAAGGAGAAAAACATTTTTTCCATGTGTGAACATGTACATATACTTCTTGATGATATATGCTTGATACTCAATAATATGTGATGTTTTTGGTGTAAATCATACCATACTCTTTGAAAAATAGACAGTGAAGACAAAACTGAGAAGAACCCAAGTCAGGAAGAGTAGAGCATATAAGTAGATCCAAAAGAGAAAGTCAATAGGAAGAATGCATGCTTAATACAGGTTATGAACATCCCTTAGAGATTTTCACAGAATTAAGTATGTTCTAAGTGACATGTAAGGCTGTGTTAAAGAGAACATTTTGGATACGGTAATAAGTCTTAATAATCAAGGCACTATATTAAATTAATTGCCTACAAAAATGAGATATAGTATTGCAGATAATATAAAAAGATAAATTATACCCTTACTATTTTTTATTTAAAATGTTTTAAGCATCTAATATCTGTATTAGATAGTCTGTCTTTGAACTGATAGATAAAATGTATAATATATTATCTAATGTTCTCTGAACTCAGTATAGGTTTCTAAATAAAACCATATGTGAACAGCTGTCTCAGAGGTATGAGAGGAGTTGTCTGGAATCCATGTCTTTGCTTAACTTTTCCCTGGTACATATATCACGCTGAAAATTGCCAACATCCTGAGACTATATAAAGGACAATAGTAGAAGAGGAAGCTAATATTTACTGAGGATGCACCACGTGTAATAGGATTGGATTAGACCTTTCATATTCTTGATCTCATCTGCATAATAAAGCTGTAATATTGGTGGTTATTATCTCCATTTTATAAATGAGGAAATGGAGTCTTGGACAGGTGATGAAATGTGTCTGGAGTCACGCAAGTAGTAAGAGGCAAACCTGGTATTCAATACCGGAGCCCAAGCTCTTCTCACTACATTGTCCTGGCCTCATTCTTTAAATGGCAACTTGCTGAAAAATGAAGTCCAATTATTATTTCACTTACATCTTTACAGAGATTTTAGTTATTTTTTTAACTGAATATATTGGAAAGTTAATGGTACAGAGAGATATTTTCTGAGATTGATGCAAAAAACAAAGTTGAACTGAATTTCAGCACTTAAAAAAATGACTTTTCTCCTTTCTCCATCCCTGCATTGAAAAATCATTGCATTTTTTTTAACTCCAAAGTATACTTTGCAGTGTGGGAAACATGGGGTGGTGACCATACAAAATTAAAATTTAATCATCATGTATGATAACAAGAGTTAGCTTCAGATAGTCTTTACCCTTAAAAGATCTAAAACATTTACATCCCAGAAGAATGCTTGGTATACTGTAGACAATCAGTACTTTTTATGGAATTAATGAATACCTTATGGTATCAATATCCATTGGTGGTCTAGGGCAGATGGACAGATTATAAATTCTTTGTAATTAAAAATATTGAAGTATATCTTAATGAAAACATCAAAGCAATGATGTTTTGATTCTTCATTTTATACATTTTGAAGATAAATTAGTCAAGATAAAATTAAATGTATTCATGTTTATTTTCTAGTGCTCAGCTTCTTGTGGTAAAGGTTTAAAGTACCGTGAGGTGCTTTGCATTGACCAATTCCAAGGGAAATTAGAAGAAAAATATTGTAGTCATCTACAGAAACCTCGAACTCACAAAGCTTGTAGATCTGTCAGATGCCCTTCATGGAAAGCCAATAGATGGAAGGAGGTATGTGATGTATTTTATAATTATAAATGTATTTTTGCTTTTAAAAAGAAAATCTCAAGTCTATTTTGATAACCTTGAAGTTTTTACTCCACTAAAATGTGTTTTATTCTTTATACATTTATATGCACTATGCTCTGAATTAACGTACAGTGTTAACACTTTTGCTAAGTCTATAGTTAAATAACAAATTAGTCAGTTGATTTTTTTGTGACTGTAAACTTTACAAGAAATTCTGTTACTGAATACCAGGGGCGGGGGGCTACTGATAATCACCTTATTATTCCAGGTAGTCTACTCCAGGAAACTAACTGAGGATTACAGGAGGGAGGGGGTGAGGGGATGGGGTGACCGGGTGATGGGTATTAAGGGTGGCACATGTTAGGATGAGCACTGGGTGTTCTACGCAACTAATAAATCGCTGAACATTACAATAAACAAAAAAAAAAAAAAAGAGAGAGAGAGAGAGAAGAAGAAAAAGGAAAGTATAGATGATGATATATTTAGTGACTGCCTTGTTTCCACACCAAAGTCTTGGATTTGAGCTAAGCTTACATTTTGGAGAAAGGACTGGTATGTTCTAAACAGGATGATAATTGGAGTTGTTTAAAATTTAGGGACATGTCAGAACTAGGGAGCCTGGGCTAGCCTAAGGCTAGAGTGGACACACTTGGAAAGACTTAGCCAAAATGAAGCTGATATATACATGAGATCCAGACTGAGAACTCAGTTAATAAAAGAAGGGTGATTGATAGCTGCCCTGGCATACTCAGGAAAGTAAGCCCAAAATCTAAATTGGGGGTGGCATGCGTTTGATTGTGGTTGTCAAACAAAGACCAGCTTGGGAAGTAGTGAAGAGGTAAAAGCCATGAATGAAGTTGGAAATTTTCACTAGAATAATTTCTGGGGGCCCGATCTCAATTGGGATAGGCTTTCAGCACAGCTGTCTGGCTGCTCTCAGCAGGACCTCAGGGGGCTTAGCCATTTCTTAAAGGTCATAGTCCTGAGAAGGGAAGAAAAACCTCTTTTCAGCTGATGCAGCTTCCTTGCTCCTGTGTGGTGTTGGAATGATGTCTATTAAAGATAGGGGTTCAGAGAGGAGCTAGAAGAAGTGGGGTTCCTCTGGGTTCCTAAGTCATCACAGTTTACTCTGTGAGGTTAGAGCCTCGGTGCAAGGCACCAGCTTTTGCAGGGTGCTGTGTCAGCCCGTCATTTTTACTGAAAAAAAGCTCCCAAATTGAGCATCTCAGGTTTCTTTGTAGAAGAGATAGCCTCTGTCAAGTGCTCACAGGCTGAGAATAATGCTTAATACTTGACTGAAAACTGGGAGGAAACATGTTTGTTTCTCATCCCACACACAAAAAAACCCCATATATTTTAAGCATTTGCTTCAACACTGAATTTTGGTAAAGTAATAAAATTATTTTTCATGCTTTAGCAAAGGCTATGATTTAAAAGATTTCCCATTAACCTGTTTTATTTTATAAATGCCACTACTACCTACTAAGCTGTTTAAGAAAGAAACACTGGATCATTCTGTCTCTTTCTCCCTTGACCTTGCAGTCAGTCACTCAATAGGTTCTTCCAATTCTCCTTCAAAGTAACTCTTGAATCTCCTTGTGAACACTCCAGTCTAATTCATCACCTGTTCCCAAGTGTGCAATGGCCTCCCTGTATGTATTTTTGCCATTATTTACTTGCATATAGTGTGAGCTCTAGAATAACTCAAATATCCTTGTATTTCTTCCTGTCTTCTGTGATTGGCCATCATCTTTACATGGTCAGTCTACAACCTAACCCATACTTACTTCTTCAGCATTGTCTCAGGCCACTGAATCTCAGGGACAAAGGATAACTTGTTCACAAAGCACTTAACTTAGTATCTAGTCGAATACTTCTTATCTTGAATATTGTGATTTAGTTGCAAAAAACACTTTCCAACTCTTAATTTATATATTTGTCATATTGTGGTTTTTTGCTTAAGGTTGGGGTTTACCTTATTTTATCTGGACCAGGATGTGCCAGAATTATGGCAAAGTGGCTTTCTCCCAAAGGGTGAAACACTGTAAAGTCACTGAACCCAGCATGTGGCAGGGGCTTCCTAATTCTGACATCAGCCGGGAACTACAGGGCGGCGGGGGGTGGGGTGGCGATGGGTGTGGAAGTGGGAGAGGCTTTTTGCTTCTTGGCCACCAGCATGCCTGTTGATTCCTCAGAATTTCCTTGCCGCTCTGCAGCTGCTCCAGCTGCTGTGGTCCGTATTCACGGGGGACACTTTCTGACCCTTGACTTCCAGCCCCACAACAGCAAATCAATCATTGGTGCTAACAAATTGGCCTTGGCTTACCACCAAGTATGAAATTATATAAGACTCACTTACATGAACATGTTTGTGGGGTTTCTAAGATACAAATATGAATATTCAAAGACTATTAAAAAAAACACAGATGCTTTTGTACAGAGTCTGCTTTCTTCTCTTTGAATTGGTTTTCCTTGTCATAGAAATTAGCTTCATACACCCACACAGTCCTCAAATCTCTGCCAGAAACAAATGACCATTTGTGAAGTCGTTGGCTTTTGATTTATTCTATAAAAAGTACCCACATGAAGTTAACAATTGCAGGCTGTCCCTGCACTACATATAATAATATATTCAACAGAAGTGTAATTTCAGAGGTAGTTACAAGATAATCACTGGTTGCTACTTTGTTCCAACTGTATAAATTGTAACATTGCTTTAGTAGAATCACTCACTATAAAACAATTTCATTTTATTACTATTTTACATTCTACCTCAAATGGGAAGACTCATTTAACAAATTGTGACTGCAGAGGTCCTCAAATGAGTTTTGAAGTAACACTCTTCATTTGGTATTTGATACCGTTTTTCAATGAAAGGATTTAGAAATGCAGTTTAGTGACTGGTGCTAAAGAGAAACAAACATTGGTATAGAGGGCCATTTGTCCTCTGCTTCCAGATGTATACCTTCAGAGAATAATTTAAAAGAAAAAATAACTCCCTCCACTTTCTGAAACCAGAAAGGTGTTTTTGTTTTGTTTTGTTTTTAAACTTAATTTTACCTATTTGGGAATACTAGCTTCGTTTGTATATTCAAGTTTTTAAGGCTAGCATGGTGCTAGAGTCCTCATTGTCTTATGCTCCATCTACTTAGTTCTACCATCCAAATGTAGTTTTCATACTCAGGGGAAAAAAAAAAGTCCAAAATTCTTGCCTCCCCTTGATCATGACAAATCTGCTGGACAACTTAGAAAGATGACCTAAAGAATCTCACTCAACCCTGTTGAATCTAGAGTCACCTGATACCAACCACTTGCCTGGTTCCCCTTCTGTGAGACCCATCATTTTCTTTCTACTAGTTTAAGATCAGAGCTGGACCCAAAGTGATAGAAGTTCCAAAATCTCACCAATCTATTAGCTAGTGCCCCCTTCTCCCAAAGCCCCTGAAAAAAGAAAATTTTTGAAACTATATGCTAAATGTTAGCATTTTAAGTGATTTTGTATTTCTATAATTCCATATTTTCTATATTTCCAAAAGACATAAATCTGTATTTATATATTTTCAGAAATTTCTGATGTATACACATATATCTCTTATAACCTAAAAAGATGAGCGCCTGGGTGGCTCAGTTGGTTAAGCGACTGCCTTCGGCTCAGGTCATGATCCTGGAGTCCCGGGATCGAGTCCCACATCGGGCTTCCTGCTCAGCGGGGAGTCTGCTTCTCCCTCTGACCCTCTGACCCTCTTCCCTCTCGTGCTTTCTATCTCTCATTCTCTCTCTCTCTCAAAAATAAATAAATAAAATCTTAAAAAAATAAAAAAAAATAACCTAAAAAGATAGTAAATCTTAATTGAGTCCCCATAGCCACTGGCCAAGAACCCAGAGCCTCTTCTCTCTTCCCAAGCTATGTTCCTACCATCGACGATAGGCTGGAGCCCCAGGATGGGGAAGATGTCCTTTTTGGCTCTGGGGCTGAGCAAACTATGCATCTCACTGTCTTCTGGCTGGTGCAGCCACTCTGTTCTTACCTTTCTGTGTGCCTGTTCTCTCTCTCCCTTTCTTCTCTTTCTTGATACTTAAGATGGTCTTTCTTTGAGTGGGCTGAGATGACTCACTCTCTGGTTTAAGGCATGTATCTAGAAATTTTCAAGGCAGAAATAACTATCTCTGCAAGAAAAGTGAAGAAATGGGAATAGGAAGGGAGCAACAAGGGACAGTCACTTCCTGACATTGCTTGGAGAGGAGAAAACAACAGCTAAAGAGGCTACATAGCTTGTACAGGTCACAGACCAAAAGTGTGTGTGTGTGCGTGCGCACGCGTGTGTGTGTGCACGCGTGTGTGTGGTGGGGAAGCACTTGAACACAGGTCTATTTGAGCTTTCCTTACTATAGTTGATGTCATAATCATTTCATTATTATCATTATACATCAGCTCATCCTTATATTTCCTGAGCAACATACTGTCACTCTTACGAGGGCACCTAAAATCAACAATTGTAGATTGCCATTGCATCACACATAGTAATGCATTCGATAGAGATGTAAATTCTATGTTTTACTGAATTCATTGCAAGCTGTTTATATTTTTAAAACGTATGTTGCATAAATATAAGATATATATGGATTTTGCAGCTTATGGAATATAACAGTTTAGTTGATCATATATTAAATATGATGTAGTTGCTGAAATTACTAGCAACATATTAGGCTACATTTATGATGGATAGCATTCAAATCTTTGGCACAGATCCTGCTTACATTTTTGGAGCAGTGTCTATTCCAGAGGACCCACACTTAAAGAAAAGCAATGACAAATTTACCAAATCCCCAGAGAAGTACAATCAAAAGGTTACAAGTATTTTGTCGGTTCCATTGTGTTCTATTGCAAGTTGGAAAAGCCCTGATGATTATTGGCTTAAACTCAAAGACTTTTCCTCTTTACCTAACAAAACTAGATCACTGGTTTTGGGTTTGATTCGGCCGCTTTATAATGGCAGAGTGCTGGCCTGGCATTTCTGCAATTTTATTGGTCAACTCCTATTGGTCAGAAAATAGCTCTCACTCTTTTAAAGCCTTCATACCTACCTTCATACTTTCTCCCATGAGAGTGAATATGGATTTGTTCTGTGTTGGGAAGGAAGGCAGATTCTGGAACATGATAAACGTTTAAAGAAGACTCTTCCAGCACAAAATAGCTGAGTATTCGCTAACCTTAGAGTCAACCGAAAATGGAATGACTGCTTTCAGGATGTAGTGAATGTACCCGGGTTGAGGGTAGGAAAGTATGGGTAGGTTTGATGGCCCTTCGTTTACTATTGCTGTAAGAGGAATTTCAAAATTGAAGAGAAATTGAAGTTACATATTCCTAGAGTCTCTCCTAACTCCAAATGCTCTACTATTGCTAATATTACTGCCTCACTATTGATTCACTTGAAATAAGGCACAGTTACAAATAACTATGAGGAAATCAAGACCTAAATCTTAATAAGAAATAAGAAATAATGCACCCAGAGAGAACATTGCATATTTGCATTTTAAATGATTTATGAAATAGCAGTTTGATGAACCTATTTTGACAATGCACATTCTAACATTTCTTTAAGCCTGCTCTCCAGTAGCTAAAATGTCTGTAGTACCTGTGGGTTGGCTAGAATTCACCTTCTCCAATTCCACTGTCCAGTCTTTCAAGTGCCAGTCTGTGCAGTGTTCTAGTATATTACATGTAAATAGGATATTTGGCTGATTTTTCCCATCTGAATTAAATTACGCAGTGTTGGTGAGTTAGTGTATTCAATCATTTATTTGTGTTGTAATTATAGTCTCACATTGCCTTCACATTAGATATCTGGATTTTTAAAAAAGATAATATGGAACATGCTTATAAGTATGTAGTTCTGTGAAGCTGTTAAATAAGGGTGCATATTTTAGAGTTAGAGGTGTACCTTGAGAATTCATGCTAGTAAGTCACTCGACTAAAGAGTGAGTAATCATATGTTCACAGCATCCACCACTGTAGGGGGACCTGGCCGGGCAAAGGTTCTGCTTTGGAAATATTGAATTTGAGGTACCTTTGACATATCTATGGAGAAAACACATGAAATTTCTGTAAATACATAGAACATTCTTGTAAACACATGCAAATGTAAATGTCAAAGTCAGAATTAGGATCAAGGTTGGAGAAAACAGATTTAGAAAATTGGTGCATAGAAGAAACTGCTCAGAGTGCTCACAGGGTATAAAGAGAAGCAGGTTATAAACAGAATCCCAGGATATGCTAACATTTAAGGCTTAGCTGAGAAAATGGTCAGTTAAGGACTCTGAGAAGGAGCAATCTAAGAAGAGTAGAGTACCCAGAACCTGAGGAGATTTCAATCACAGAAGCCAGAATGGCTCCACATAAAGTGGTCAATGCTGCTGAATGTGTCCATGAAATTAAGAAAAGATTTGAAAGTTTTTGTTTGACCTGGCAGTTATGGTTATTGATGACATTGGGTTAAGAATTATTTCATTTAAGCCATATATTCTCTTTTCTGTTCAAATCTAAAATTGCATCAGTTTACTTTTTTGTACTCTTTTAAAAAAAACTGAAAAACAAAAAGTTACTTGTTTTCTTCCAAGCAGTAGACCATTTTTTTTCCTTTTACGGAAGAGATCCACAGTAGTAGTTACCCATGGTCACAGTAGATTTTTCTAAACATGTGCTATGACCAAAAACTATGGGGATTTTTGAATTTTAGAAAATTATATTTGTCTGCTAGAACTTCTTGCTAAGCTGTGTTTTGTGAATTATGTTTTTCCAGGAAAATTTTTTTTTTAGGTTTAGAGGCAGGAAGTTTTCCAAATGTAGCTTATATTTCTGAAATTATCCCTGGAAAATGTTTGCAGGAGCCTTATTTTATAGGCTAAACATTTTCACAAGAGGTTCGGATAAGCTAAACTACCTCCAGACATTTTTAGTCTACTTAACATTGTGCCCTGCATAAAACACATACTAAGTTATTTTTGTCTCCATACAATGGAGCTCTTTTTTGTGAAAACACTCAGTGGGGGCAAAATTCAACTGCCTAAGCATAAAATGAAGGTAAGTGTAAGCTATGTAGATAATAATGTTCTTCATAGGTTAAAAAAATATATATAAATTCTCTTTCAAGTCAGTGATTACTGCTTATTCCCATTGCTTATACGCACTGCTTATACTGCTTGTAATTCTAAATTTTCAAGTGCATTTAGAGTAAAATGCTACAACAGTTTGTATGAGGAATTCAAGTCTACAAGGTGAACCAAGATCTTAGTTATTGTGGGATCTAAATATTTTTTCATTCAAGGTAAATCCATATTCTGTCGATATACATTTATTGTTGTGGAAAAAGAAATTCGTCGCTCTGAGACTCCAGCAGAAATATAGAAGTTGGTGAAGGACCTGATTTTTTTTAAAAGACTTATTCATTTATTTTCAAGAGAGACAGAGAGGGGGAGAACAAATGAAGGGAGGGGCAAAGAGAAGAGAATCTTCAAGCGGACTCCCCGCTCAGTGCAGAGCCTGACATGGGGCTCCATCTCACCACCCTGAGATAATGACTGGAGTGGAAGTCAAGAGTCAGATGCTTAACTGACTGAACCACCTAGGTGCCTCAAAGGACCTGATTTTTTACCCTTACAGTATCACGGGGAAAAAATGATGAGACCACAGATATTCCTCAGTAGGACTTCCAATCCCTTCTGGAATCACAAGGGGTATAGAAAACCAAACTTGCAAATTAAATAAATACCCCTGGGTGTTCTCCACACTTTATTAATGTTAGCACCACAGCTTTTGGTTGTAGCCAAGCTCTGTTGTAATATGACCTGGCATTCTAGAGCTGCAAAGGCCCTGAGAGTTTACCAAATCCTTCCCCATCCCCCTCAGCACAATGACAGCTCGGTGTCTGGAATCAGAAAGAACTCAGCTTCATCTTGCTAACCAGAAGCAGGAGCTCAGGCAAGTGACTTACCATCTCTGAGCCTCAGGTCCTCAGCACTGCTTGTCAGAGGTAGAGCTGTTATCAGGAATAAATGTATGGAAGTGTTTTATGAAATTTTAGAAATAATACAGAATCTTCTTTGTGCACATAAGAAAAATGAGACCTGGAGAGGCTAAGACAAGATGGTCTAAGTTTACAGTTTATACAACCAGCTTCCCCAAGCACTTGTCCATTGACAGATAATCATGAATCAACAGATTAGCAAATATTTGGATCCCCAAACTGTAGTAGGTGCTGCAAGTATAAAGATGAGTATAACACAATCTTGGAAATTACTGTTCCTTCGAAGGAGATTATGCATATAGCCTAAGGATTTAAATGATGTTTTAAAGCAATGTAGCAGAATACTTTCATTGTGCAGCAAGTTGAAAAGATATTAAGAACATTTCAGTCAGAATGGAGAGTTATCGGTTGGGATGGAGGGACTGATACAACTTGTCATATAACTTGTCATAGTTTCCATAAGGGTTAAGTAGGTATTGCAAAATAAAAAAAATTATTTGCACATCTGTATAGAGACTTCACACTAGACAGTCTTAAAAATTCTAATTGCATAATGTTTTCTATCTAGTACCTGATGTAATGTTAGGTTATGTTTAAAAGAAACAAGAAAATAGGCCATGGCACTACTTTGCCATCTTTACGTAATTTGATATTTGTTAGCTAATTGTTCAAACCCTTTGGGCTTCTCTGTAGTGCTCTGTGACCTGCGGCGCGGGAGTTCAGCAAAGGGATGTGTACTGCAGACTCAGAGGCGTTGGTCGGGTGGCTGACGAAGTGTGTGATCCATCCACCCGGCCTTATTTTCAGCAGCAATGTTGGCGTCAGGACTGCAAACAGTACCAGTGGGCAGCAGGAGAGTGGCTGAACGTGAGTACTGACAAGCAAACTTTCAAAGACACTGCCTGAAAGAATGTGTTATTCATTTTGTCGTTGCACTTCTAGTGTTCAACATCATGTACCAAAACAGAGACACATCGGCAAGTGAAGTGCACCGATGCACAAAATGTTCAAGTGAACGAGAGTTTCTGTGATCCTTCAACCAGACCTCTTTCAATCAAAAAGTGCAGGAACCCTTCCTGCAGGTATATTGTGGTAACAGGAGACTCATCACAGGTAAGGCAGAGAAAGAAAGTTAAGACATTTTGCTCCTGGAGAAAAAAAACTGAGTCTCAAATTTGATGCAGTTGAAACTGGGTCTAAATTTACACCCGGGCGTTGGCGGGGTGGGGTTTGCCTGGCTGGCTCAGTCGGTTAAGCGTCTGCCTTCAGCTCAGTTCATGATCCCGGGGTCCTGGGATCAGCCCCACATGGAGTTCCCTGCTCAGCGGGGAGTCTGCTTCTCCCTCTGCCCCTCCCCACTGCTCGCATGTGCTCTCTCTCTCTCTCAAATAAATAAGTAAAATCTTAAAAAAATAAATTTGAATACGGGGCAGATAATGGTATGCATATCAATCTAGGGAATGGAATCACTGACAGTTGGATGGTGCAGAGAGTAATAGCAACATGTATGTTAAACTCTAGTTCAGTTCTGTTCTAGTTCAGTTCTGAAGTGTTAGTTGGGACCAACTGTGAAATCAACTACCAGGAACAGTTTGGCAAATTGGCCCTGAGGAGTTGCCTGCTTTTTAAAAACAGCTTTTTTGACATATAATTTACAAACAATAAACCACACATATTCAAAGTGTATAACTTGCTAAGTTTTGATGGGTGTATACACCCATAAAACCATTTCTATATTCAAAATAAAGAGCATCTCCATCACCCCCAAAAGTTTCCTTGTGCTACTTTATACTTCCCCTCTCCCTCCCAACTATAGGTAACCTAATCTGTTTTTTTATGTTAGGGATCCCTCATTACATTATTTTTCATTTTCTAGAGTTTTGCATAAATGGAATCACACAGTACGTACTATTTTTGGTCATTTTTAAAAAAGATTTTATTTATTTGAGAAAGAGAAAGATAGCATGAGCAGGGTGAGGGGTGGAGGGATAAGCAGACTCCCTGCTGAGCAGGGCACCCAATGCAGGACTCAATCCCAGGCCTCTCAGGTCATGACCTCAGCTGAAGAGAGACGCTTAACCGACTGAGCCACCCAGGCACCCCTGTCTAATTATTTTGATGACTTTACGTATTTTGAGATTGAGTCAGGTTGTAGTATGTATCAATAGCTTATTCCTTGTGATTATTAAATAATATTCCAGTATATGGATAGCTTCCAGGGCACTAATCTTCTGTGATGTCTGATTTGCCATTAATTCCCATCCTCTCTATTTTTCTTAATCTCAGACAGTGTAATATTTATCTTTAGAAGTTTGATTTCAGCTTTTTTAGTTCTTTCATGTCTCTATTTTTTGAATATGCTACAATTAGTAATAACTTTTTAATGTCTTTCTCTGCTAATTCTAACATCTATGTATGTGCATTTACAATTGAGAGAATTTTAGTATACTCTCAAGTTTGTGCAACCATCACCATGATCTAATGCTAGAACATTTTATCACCCCAAGAAGAAACTCCATATACATTAGTAGTAACTCCTCATTTCCTTCTTCCCCTGAGCCACAGAAAACCACCTACCTATATTCTGCATCTATGGATATTCCTGCTCTTGGCATCTCATATAAATTGAATCATACAATATGTGATCTTTTGTATATGGCTTCTTTCACTTAGCATGGTATTTTTAAGGTTCATCCGTGATGTAGTATATAGACATCATTCATTCCTTTTTAAGGATGAATAATATTCCATTTTAGGGATATGCTATATTTGTTTACTCATCAGTTGATGGATATTTGGGTTGATTCACTTTTTGACTATTCTGAATAATGTTGCTAAGAACATTTGTGTACGAGTTTTTTTATGAATGTTTTCAGTTTTCTTGGGCAAATACATAGAAGCAAAATTTCTGAGTATTATGGTAACTCTTTAATTTTTTGAGGAAATTCGAAACTGTTTTCCACAGTCACTGCATCATTTTGCAATCCTACTTATTTTACACTCTTGGAATAAATCTCACTTGGTCATGGTGCATAATCCTTTTTATTTGTTTCTGGAATTGCTTGCTAGTGTTTTGTCGACGATTTTTGTATCTACATTCATAAGAGATATGGGTCTGTAGTTTTCTTCTGGTATCTTTACCTGGTTTTCGTATGAGGGCTATAATGGCCTTGTATGATGAATTAGGAAGTATCCCTTACTCTTCTTTCTTTTGCAAGAGTTTTGGAAAGGTTAATGCTAATTCTTCTTCAAACATTTGATGGAATTTACCAGCAAAGATTCTGGTCCTGGGCTTTCCTTTGTGTAAAGTTTTTTGGTTATTAATTCAATCTCTTTGTTATAGTTCTGCTCTTTCTCTCTCCATCCTAGAGGGTATTGTTGCTGTTTGCTTGGTTAGTGACTTTTTTTTAACTCGCTGTAAAGTTTGTATCCTTTGTCACATGTAGTCACTGAAGTTTTTGCTTGATTAATTTAATTGGGAGCTAATAATTGGATAGTGATTTCCTTACATACCTAGAACCAATCTCTAGCCTCTGCTAAGAAGCTCTGTATGTGTAGGCACGTTTAACACTCAGTCAGGGAGTTTACAACTCTTTCTTAAGCTTAATGTCCTGCCTTTGTGCATAGCTTGGATGTCAGTCAGAGATGAGAATGTAGGCCCTTCCCAGGTGCTTCCTGGGCACGTGTGGAGTCCTGGACAGGCGCACAACCTTATGCATGTCCACATGTTTCTAGATTCCTATGAATATATTGGAGCTTTTCAAAGCTGTTACAGACATTTCATTTCCCAGATTTTCCTTTTAAGCCTTTTTGACTAGCCTATTTTTTGCTCCATCTGTTATCCCTGCTCTGGAAGCTGCAAAATTAAACAGTGGCCTTTAATTGGGTTCAACAAATGCCCCTAGGGAAACGCTTTTAGCACTGGGCAAACTCTGAGTCGAGTCAAATAAAGATAGTCTTGCAAGCAGGATTTTCTAGAAAACCATCAAACAGTTCAAATTATGACAGTTCTATGGAAAAGAGACTTTGAAGGATGTTCAACCCAGTTCCACCTCTCTTGTGGCTGCCAGGCTGCTGGCTTTTGCCATGTTTGCAGGACTATTGAACCATGAGAGATGATGGACTCTGAAAAACAAACTGAGGGTTTTGGGGGGGGATGGGTATTAAGGAGGGCACGTTCTGCATGGAGCACTGGGTGTTGTACGCAAACAATGAATCATGGAACACTACATCAAAAACTAATGATGTAATGTATGCTGATTAACATAACATAATAAAAAAAAAGGACTATTGATTTTGAAGGCTACTATGGAGCTAGAGAGGGAAGCATGGGTATAGGGTGAGTCAAAACACCACAAAGCTCCCTCTTCATTCGGAGACAGCCTTGTTTTTTGTTTTTTGTTTTTTTTTAAGATTTTATTTATTTATTTGACAGAGAGACGCAGCAAGAGAGGGAACACAAGCAGGGGGAGTGAGAGAGGGAGAAGCAGGCTTCTCACTGAGCAGGAAGCCTGATGTAAGACTCGATCCCAGGACCCTGGGGTCATGCCCTGAGCGGAAGGCAGACACTTAACGACTGAGCCACCCAGGCGCCAGACAACCTTGTTTCTTAAATAAATACCTCCTGGATTGCTGCAAGCCTTTGGTTAATTTTCAATGTTCTGGGAAAGTTAATTCTGACAAATTTTGCCAGTTTCTTCATTGCTTTTATGGAGGAAAGAATTTTCAGAGGTCCTTACTTAGTTATTTTCACTCACCTTCTTGGTCTGTTTTGAGAGATGGATTTTTCTCCTCATTATGGGTTATATTTTCCTGCTTCTTAGCATGCCAGCTAATTTTTTTTTTTTTTGCCAGCTAATTTTTTGATTGCATGTTAGACATGAACTTTATCTTTTTGGCTATAGGATATTTTTTATTCCTATGCATATATTATGAGCTTCATTCTGGAATGAAGTTATTCTTTCTGGAACAGTTTGATCCTTTCTCGCCTTGCTCTTAAGATTTGTTAGGTCAGACCAGGGCATTATTTGGTCTAAGGTTAATTATTCCCCTCTACTGTGGGAAGACCCCTTTGAGTACTCTACCTATTATTCCATGTATATAAAGTTTTCCAGTCTGGCTGGACGTAATTGGCACTCTATTTGGTCCCATATGAGTACCAGATACAGTAATTTCTGTCTTTTGATTGGTTCATTCTTTGACCTCACTTGGTGTCCTCACATGTGTGTATGCACTGGTCAGAACCCTGTTGTCGCCTTGTGTTTCCTTTTCTTGTTCCAAGACCTGGAAGCTCTTTCAAGGTAGCAGACTGGAGCAGTTATAGGATCACTTGTTTTATTTCCATCTCCCAGGTATCATTTTATTGCCTAGTGTCCAGTGTCTGAAAAGCCATTGTTTGATATATTTTTTCCAGATGTTTTTATTGCTTCAGGTTAGAAGACAACTTATTTCTTGTCACTCCATTATTGCTGGAAGCAAAAATCTGTTTGCCCATTTTTTGATCTTTAATTTATTTCTACATCACTTACCTATTTTAGTCAAATGGTATTATACATCACATTATATGTTTTAAGATAAATGTATGCTAACTTATATATAGTTACTAGTAAGTTAAGGCTAATAACTATTCTTTATTTCAGGTAAGAACTGCTAATATGTTCCATTTCTCTGAAGTTGTGTCTACCAGGAGATAAAGCTTCATCCAATTAAACTATTCTTAGCAGTGTAATGGAAAACAAAACCAAAAAACATAGGCACTAAAAATAGTCTAGCATGAATCTGCATCCTTTCCATTTATTGACTCAACTCTGGAAATGTTACCTAATGTCTCTGAATATTTGTTTACTCATCTGTAAATTGCGCTAATAAATAAGATTATTGTGGGGATGATATAGCCTAGTGTGTAGGCAAATAGTAGGCTCTAGTTAAGTTTAAGGACATCTTTTTCTCCCCTTATAATTGTGTATTTTTCAGTGTGCAGGTAACTGTGGATTTAGTTACCGACAAAGGATTACATATTGCATTGCAATCTGGCCTACTGAGAAATATAAGCTTCATCAACTTTGGCCTATAGACTATCGAGAATGTCCTGTGCTGCCTTCCCCTCAGGTTTACAAATGCAATTTTAGGAGCTGTTTGCATGTGGCCACTTGGAAAGTGGGGAAATGGAGCAAGGTCAGTATATAATTATGAATTGAAAGCCTTTTGAATGAGATTCTCTAGGTGTAGAATGCCTGGTAATCTGCATGTCTAACTAGATCTCAGGGTTTTCTCCTATCCCTTCTGTCTATAAAGACCACTATCAGTTACTTGTATAAATATTTCTTTTTCTATGCTTCTTATAATCTGCTTATAAGCAGGGACCATAACTCATAACTTATTTCTGTTCCTCTGAGAGTCTTTCACAGTGGTTTGCATTTTGAGTAGATGCTTAAGAAATATTTATTGGTTAAGTAAAGAAGTAAATAGATCTAACGTATGAGTAATGAAAGTCATTGGCACTATATTCCATTTCCAATCGATAGAAAGCAAGTGAATATTGCTTTGCAATCCTAGCATATAACAATGAGAAAAACTCTGTAGTCTTAATAATCATCATTAATTAATGCATATCAAGGGATGCCTGGATGACTCAGTGGGTTAAGCTTCTGCCTTTGGCTCCGGTCATGATCCCAGCGTCCTTTTAACCGTTATATACTTCACCACCAAACTGTATCCTTTTCACAGTGCTCAGTGACTTGTGGAACTGGGACAATGGAGAGAAGAGTAGAATGCATGGCTGAAAGTGGTTGGTCCAGTAACTTATGTTTAAAGCGTTTAAAACCAGATGCTCAAAAGAAATGTTACATCAATGACTGTAAGTAATAGACTTTAAAAATCTACCTAGTACCTAAGTGTTTCTAGGAAGTTTTAATTAAAATTTGAAGGTGAATATTTGTAGCAGTCATATGCTCCATAAAACAAGATGTTTGTTTTTTCCGAGTATATTAATATTTGTGTGATTGAGCTAAATTCATGCTCTGCTTGTAATTTGTTCATTGTCCATAAGTTGTATTCACTTGTCCTTGAAGGTAAAACATTTACCAGCTGCAAAGAAATCCAAGTAAAAAACAACATTACCAAGGATGGTGACTATTACCTTAACATTAATGGAAGAATAATAAAGGTATTTTGAAAACAGTTTGCATTTGATTTTAACATTGGCTGTTGACTGGAAAAAGCTTTTCTAAATGTTTGCATTTTCCCTTTAGATCTATTGCGCAGACATGCACTTGGAGAACCCCAAGGAATATATATCATTGGTCAAAGGTGAAGAAGACAACTTTTCTGAAGTGTATGGTGTTAGGTATGTGATTTTTGGCTTATCTGTGGATTTTTATGGTCCATCAAGAGAATTAGAAGTTCCAGCTTTCAGAGTGACACTTGGGTATCTCACAAGTGGGACAAGTAATTTAGGAGCATGTGGACATATTAGGACCTAAACCAGATGTTGTCCATGCCTGTTGAATACAGAAGACTTGAGTATTAACATGTGCTCACAGAGAGATTGACTAAGAAGAATACTGAGGGTGAGCTGTGAAACAAGAGAAGAGTTTAAGAGCTAGGTGTATTTTAATAGAAATGAAGTTAATACCAGTAATAAAATCTAGGAGAACTATAGCTGAATTATTTTCCATAAACCATCCTTGAACTTCCCATTGAGAATTATATGTTAATCTTGAGTGATTTTTACTTCTTTCTCATTTAACTTACTGACACTATCATATTGAAGAGTGTATCTTCTCACTTCCAAAGTTTACCATTTATCTACATGATGGGGGAATTACTACATCTAATACTAAAAATATTCTAATGTTGTTTCAGACTACAAAATCCATATGAATGTCCTTTTAATGGAAGTAGGAGGCAAGACTGTGCGTGTAAAAATGACTACCTGGCTGCTGGGCACACTGTTTTCAGCAAAATAAGAATTGATCTCAATTCCATGCAAATTAAAAGTAAGTGCTGAATCTCTAAAATAGAACATTTCTATTTGCTAATGAAATTCTAACGATAAGCTGGCATTATGTGGTAGCCAGGGTATTGAGAAGGGCCTAGCATTGTACAATAATCACTTAATTTTTTTTAAAAAGAACTTATTGGGTACATAATTCTTTTGCAATAATGGGGACCCTTAGTAAAAATGTAGTGGTAACGACAGTGATAAGATGCTGCCCTTCTAAGATATAAGCCTCTACCTTAAAATCCCCAATTACATTAAGGACAAGGAAGTTAATATCCTCAACATAGTTGTTAAGTCTTTTGCAGGGTTTAAAGTAATAATTAACATTAGTTTCAGTTCACAATTTGTCAAGTATTTTCCCATAAATTGTCTCATTTGATCTTTTTTATAACTCTGTACTAGTTAAGGCAGAATTGCATCACATTGTTGCCAGTGATGAAATTAAGATGTACTTATAAAATTAAGTGACTTGTCCCAATTCATACAGTTAGTAATTGGCATTGAGAGTTAAGTCCCACCCACAGATTCCTGCTTCTGTACCTGGTGCCTTTCTAGAAAGTAATTCAGAGGGTGCCTGGGTGGCTCAGTTGGTTGAGCGACTGCCTTCGGCTCAGGTCATGATCCTGGAGTCCCAGGATTGAGTCCCGCATCGGGCTCCCTGCTGAGCAGGGAGTCTGCTTCTCCTTCTGACCCTCCCCTCTCTCATGCTCTATCTCATTCTCTCTCTCAAATAAATGAATAAAATATTTTTTTAAAAAAAGAAAGTAATTCAGAGTATAATAAAATCAAAACATATTTATGGAACCTAATATACACTGAACATGATGCAGCCTTCCATCCTGGAACTTGCATACCTACAAGAAAAGGCAATGAAGTTCATTTCAGAAGCAGAAACTCTATATTGCAATTGAATCACCAGTACCTAGCATGGTCCATAAACTATAGAAAGAAACAAAAAATTTATTGAGACAGGGAATGCATGAGTACATAATCTCTATATCACAGTCACATGATGATGAACTGTTATTGTTAGTAATAATAGCTACCATTTACTGAACACCCACTGTTACTGCATCGGGGAAGCATTATACTGTTATGTTTATGACTCTGGAGTTAGACCGTCTGGGAGTAAATTCTTTGCATCCATTTACCAGTTACGTGACCTTGGAAATATCTCTTTAAGCCTAAATTCCCCAATCTGTAAAGTGAGAAGCTGCGTCTCAGGTGTTTTTTCTTTCTTCTTTCTTTCCTTTTTTTTTTTCCTTTCCGTTGAGGATTAAAATATAATACTTGTAACATACCTAATAAGTGCCTTGCTTGATAAATACTGGTTGTTATTTAATAATGTATGTTGTAACATTGCTAAGTACATAAAGGGAACTTGGTAACTTATTTGCTGTTTATTAAGTGGTTATATTTTGTTATTTTATCAAACAACTCTGCTATTTGCCAGGCATTAGGCTGGGCCCTGAGAATACAATGTATACATTTTCAACTCTCTGGTCTCTCTTTTCTTTCCTCCAGTTTGGGTGGCAAAAACCCAGTCTTGATTAAACATTTCCCCTGTACTGCACTTGCAACATGAAACATGAGTGTAGCCCCTTATATACTGCCCTTCTGACTGATCTCCCCTTAAATGCATGACTACTAAGCTACATGCTGCTGGGGGTAATCCTGTTGCCCTTCCCTAGTTCATTTCCACCCCCACACCCCTAAATGCCTAACTAACATCTTCTCCTCTAGTTTCAAATTTCTAAAATTTCCAACACTTCCACTTTATCTACTCATTGCTGATGATCTTGCTTCTTGTCTCACTAAGAAAATAAAAACTACCAGAAGAGCTTTTCCACAACCTACCACCATCCCGTCTACAAGCTACCCAAATCTTCACCTACAGACTTTTCCTTCTCTCCTGCTTACTGTGAGTGAACTATTCCCACTCCCACCTAAGGCAACCCTCTCTTGTTCTTTAGTCTCATCACTTTGTACCTATTCGAGAACATTTGCTCAGCAAACTGAACACCCACTGTAACTGCATTGGGGAAGTTTTGAGAACATTTGCTCAGCAAACTTTCCCTTCCCTCTTAAATGACCAATTCTACCTCCATTTCTCCAAATCCAGTGACAAGTTCATGGTTTTCATCTTACTTGATTCCTGTCCTGGCCACTTTCTCCTGTCTTTTTCACAGTTTCTCAGCTTGACTGGTTACTTTTCATCTTCCACAACACTGAATGTTGAAGAGCTTTAGGACACAGTCATCCCTTTGGGAATCTCATTCTACTTATAGATTTCAAGGGATGGTCCCAAATTATATCTTCAGTTTGGACTGTTACTCTAAACTCTAATATTCAGCTCGTGACTCAGCAAATCCCCATGAATGTCTAATAGGCATATCAAACTCAATGTATCCAAAACTATACTTCCAGTATTTCTTCTCACATCCACTCTTTCTATCTCAAATTTTTATCATTTCAGGAAATGGCACATATAATCTCCTAGATACTCCAGCTAAAAATCTAGCAACATCTGGGCGCCTGGGTGGCTCAGTTGGTTAAGCGACTGCCTTTGGCTCAGGTCATGATCCTGGAGTCCTGGGATCGAGTCCCACATTGGGCTCCCAGCTCAGCAGGGAGCCTGCTTCTCCCTCTGACCCTATCCCCTCTCATGCTGTTTCCCTCTCTCTCTCTCTCTCTCAAATAAATAAATAAATAAAATCTTTTAAAAAAAATTTAAAAAAATCTAACAACATCTTAGCTCCTCCCTTTCTCTCACACCTACATGCAATCCATCATCAAATTCTGTCAGGTGAATCTCTAACATACATGCTACTATGGACTGAATCATGTCTCCCAACATTCATATGATAAAGCCCTAATCCCTGATGTGATGATATTTGGTTATGGGGAGATAATTAGGTTTAGATAAGGTCATGAAGGTGGGGCCCTCGTCATGGGATTAATGCCCTTATCAAAAGGGGAAAAGACACCAGAGCTCTCTCTGCCATAAGAGGAGACAGCAAAAAGGATGACCATCTGCAAGCCAGGAAGAAGGCCCTCACCAGAAGGTGACCATACTGGCCCACTGATCTCCCCCTTCCAGCCTCCAGATCTTAGAGAAATATATTTATGTTGATTAAGCCACAGTTCACGGTGGTTTGTTACGGCAGCCTGAGCTAAGACACATATCAAATATCACTTTCTCACTACCTCATTGCTACCACCTTCATCTGAGTCCACACCATTTCCCCTTGGATTATTAAACCAACTAAAATTGTAGTATTCCTGTTTCAGTATTGTACCACTTTCCTACCTCCTGACCTACATTCTCAACAGAGAAGCCAGAGTAATCCTATAAAACATAAGCCACATCATACTTTATACATTTCCACATTTCATCTTTTTAACAACCCTGAACGCTGATCAAAACTCTCCAAACATTTACCATCTAACTCAGAGTAAAATAAAAAATCCTTTCAATGGTCAACAAAACTCAACATGACCTCCCCACCTCCATCACTTCTCTGCTCCCTCCTTGCACACTCTGCTCCAGACATACTTGTCCCTTTGCTGTTCCTTGAACACATCAAGCATGCTCTCACCTTAAGGCCTTTGCACTTTGTTCTATTGGCCTGGAACAATTGTGCTACAGTTACCTGTATGGTTTACTCCTTCATTTTGGGGGGGTTTCTACTTAATTTCACCTACTCAATCAGGCCATCCTGGACCACTCTCCACTCTTAAAATCCCTTTCTCTCCTTTTAACTGATTTATTTTTTTCTATAGCAATTATCACTCCTAATATAATGTAATATTTACTTTATTACCTGTCTGACTGTGGTAGGACTCAGGTTCCATGTCTCTTTCTGCCACTGATATGTTCTTAGAGTACTTAAAATAATATCCAAATCACAATAGGTTTTATTTATTTTTTAATTTTTATTGTTATGTTAATCACCATATATTACATCATTTGTTTTTGATGTAGTGTTCCATGATTCATTATTTGTGCCTAATACCCAGTGCTCCAT